TCCAACTAGGTTTAGAACGCAACCTCGGTGTGTCGCGCTCCTGTACGCTATGTGCCGTTTAGTTACTGCGCTCAAAGTATAAAACTCGTAAGTTACTGCGCTTGAAGTATACAACTCGTTTGTCACAAACTTTTGGGTCCCAAAGGAGATTTTGGGAAGGAGATGCGCTGAAATGGGCCCCCGATAAAGTGCAAAGGGTGAAACGGGCCGAATCTGGCAAGTGTGGTGTACAGAACGGCTACTAGAGGACACTGGAGCCGCTGCCGTTTCGTCCATCGGCTTCGTTCGAGCTGCGTAGTTCGTTTCGAGGCCTAACTAAAAGCATGCGTTTCTCATTGTCCTGGGTGATGGAGCCACCCCTGACAACGTCGACCTCGACGACTTTTTATATGCCGACTCTACTGTCATTGCGACGGAGGAGGTGACTGACTAGGCAATAGCTAGCGATGTTCGTGGGAACTCGCAAGACGGGGACGAGATCGAGCCTGATGAGCAAGACACCTGCAATATGCCCAGTAACCGTGAAGTGGTGGACGCGATCGATGTCTTGAGGCGGTTCGCAATCACACAGCAAGACGAAGGCACGATGCAGGTCGTCTGGCAATGCAAACGTCGTGTGATGCCAATAATAATACCAAGAGTGGCCCATAAAAAGGTGACGGACTACTTTCAACCGAAATAGAGGCGTCCTTGGTGAGTTTTGTGCACACGAGAAATATTTGTGGAAACTTTCTTTAACATTAGCCTCGAATTTCTATGTAGCCAAATTTCAATGTAATGATGTAAATTCCGAATCTTACTGACTTCGTTACATCGAAGTTTGACTGTATTTCCCGATCTGCAGCCGCGAGCAGCGACCACGAGAAACATGCGGCATGATGTCAATGGGGGTCTTGTAGACAGAGCTAATTGTGCGAATACCTGCTCGATAAAAAGTAACTTTTCTATAAATCTTGCCGTTCCAACATAAATATAAATGCATAAAAAAACTGGGTATCATCGACAAAACTTTTATTATATGGAGTTTTAGTGGCGCCATCTATCCTAGATCCACAAAACGGTCAGTCTATCTGCTACCGCGAACAGCCGCCAGAAGACAGAGGGGGAGGGGGACAGGGCCGGACGGGTATGGCCGGACCCGGATGAGACTTTCCTCCTTTCAACATATTGTTCGCGCTGTGCCCGCCAGCACGTGGTCACGCGGTTGCGAGCGAATGAGTCCTCGCTGCTCACTGACGGCTCTAGAGAGAGAACTTTACCGGAGCCCCACGCGTACCCCATCAACATCACTGCGCACGTGACCCGGAAGACGATGTACGAGTTGAGAGGTGGCAAAACCCTAGATCTTTTTCATTTTTCTAAATAAAAACTAGGGTATCCACACAAAGCCTGTTTTCTGTAGTTCACTGCAAAAGTGTCAGGCTTCAACTTCCACAATTACTTAAGCAAAGCCCTGAAATTGTTGCACACCTCCTTTAAGGGGGGACACTACCCAGAAAAAACAATTTCTGCAAAAAAAAGTTGATTTTGAAAAATGTCATATTTACATCCACCAACATCTAGAGAGTATTCCCAGAAAGTTTCATTAGTTTACACTGCATAGTTAATTTTTTATAAATTATTTTCGGTCCTCCGATGCTAAAGAAAAGGTAGAGGTTGGAGCACTTTGAACGCATTTTTCTCCATTCCACTTTTTGGCATAAATTTCACTTTAGGAAAACTATCGTTTTGTTATTACGCAACTTGGATTCATTTTTATGAGTTTTTCTGGGGTGAAATTTTAAGGGGAAGATAACTATGAGCTTGTATTTTTTATTTTTGTCATTTTTCATGCTCAAGAACTAAAAGTTTGGACAAAGGATGGAAATCTAAAAAACTGTATTTGTGTTTATGTGGCTTCTTTGTCATGAAAGATGGTATAACATAGAAATATAGCTCCACAGTTATCTGCTCTGAACTGTCCTAATGCAATGTAACACATGAAAACAACAAATTTATAAGTAATTTCAAAACGATAGTTTTCCTAAGCAGACACGCCCACTTTTGTCTTTGAACGTTCGCAATTTTTTTCGTACTTCACCCAGGTTAACAAAAATTGGCAGAAATGTTCTCAACATCAACAGAAACAAGCAGTGCAAATATAATTTAAATCCGACAAGTGGTTCAAAAATTTACTGTTTTGGGTAGTGTCCCCCCTTAAACAAAAAATCAGTGTAACTCGTGAAGGTTGTTTTAATGCTTCCACTTATCCATTTCTAAGCTAATTTTAATCTAACTACCGTAATATCCCGAGTCATCGCCCACCCCCCTACCACCTGAAATTCATTAAAAAAGTGGGGTGGGCCATGTCTCGGTGGGTGAGCACAAACACTTGAAAAAAAGCGGAAAAAACCGCTTATTTTTTTCTGCGTATCTAGCGCTGATGCACAAGAGATACATCAAACTCAAAACTCGATTTAGTTTCATTGTTTTATAGAAACAAATGCTCACGAAAGAATATTTTACTATAGCGAAGTCCGTTGCTTGCATACGCGCTAGAAACACCGCCGATCTGCATATAGCGCGAACGTTTGTTCCGTGAAAGAATGTCACCACTATGTTCTCCTAGTTAGTAAAAAAAAAAAAAAAAGAAAGAAAAGTCTACAAGAAAATAGAAAAAACCGACCAGGCGCAACGAACGAGCGAGCGAGCGAGCGGACCAAAGAAGCGACCAAGAGCAATGCTGGGAAAGCGGGAAAGCCGGCGGTCGCGTTGGCAAATACTTTGGCGTCGGGCCAAGTCGGGCGCCTTGTCAATTGCAAGCTCTTGTGCAACTTTCTTGTTTGGTGCGTACATACGTGCGTCCGTGCACGGCGGGCTATCAATGCACGGTTGGGGCGCTCTGCAAACGCCTGTGTAGGGCGTTCCAGCAAAGCTTTATTTACGCGTTGGCTTTGCCTAAAATATTGCACAACCGCGGTCACGACGGGCGGGAAGAAGGAGCAGGTTCGCGGTGACCTTACTTCCGCGGAGACAGACTTTGACCTAACACTCCGCGGTTACATTAACAAACTCTTATTTTGTTATCTCCATCGTTTTCTTTTCGCCCGAATGACTTTGGGGTCGCTCGAGGAGGTAAACAAAAAGAAGTGTCTTTCCCTCCTTTGTTTTACTTTGTCACGGACGTCCTCGAACTGTAAGGCCCGCGGCCGCGTCATTCGGGTAGGATGAGTTCGCGGATCTTAGAGTCCGCGCTGGGGTATTTGAAGGGGTGGGCGATGACTCGGTGTATTTTCGGAAATCGATATTGGCCCAAAAAATGGGGTGGGCGATGGCTCGGGGATGGGCGATGACTCGGGATATTACGGTATATTTATGGACTATGAGATCAGAAAGTCTAATGCCTTGTGAAGATAAAATAAAACCTATAGAGATGTTTAATCATATCTAATTGAGTGGATTTACACACCTTGCTATATGCAAATTATTTTTCTTCAATCTCTAATTAAAGAAAAAAAGAATCACGATGAACGCAGGCTGTTAGGCCATCTCTGCCTAACATATACCCTAGCATAACAGTCACAGTTTCATTTAGAAACTTTTACTGTAAATTAGATGTAAGCATTAACAAAGTTGCAACTTCTTTTTTATACACCAGGCATGCATGTGCACCATTTCGCTTTGAAAGTGTGCTTTTCTCTAAGCACGCATTGCAATATTCATACTTTTCCAAGCGTTGATCGTGGTGGGTTATCTTATTGAGTATGCTTCTTATTGAACATGGCTGCACCGAAGAAGAGCAACACAAGTGGAGCTCGCTTTCACGAGTGTTGCTTCTCCGCTGTGCACCCAAGCTCAGTAAGAAACACATTCAACGGGGCTAACCCCTCCCATGATCAACACTTCGAAATATATAAATTTTGCAGTTAATTTCAAAGCGAATATTGAATAGTGTATTATTCAAATTTCAATTATTTGCACAACACCAACTACAGGTGTTGGAAAGTATTGAATAGAACTTTACTGTGAAATATCTGAAACTGCACAAAGAAAGAAAAAATTGTAAGGGTGCAGGCGAGCTGGTGGAAGTTAACCATAGTTTTGTTTAACCCGAGACTGGGGTATTTCGGAAAAGGGACGAGAAGAAAAGAGGCCACAAGGAGGCGACGTCTCAAAATAATTGAGACGTCGCCTCCTTGTGGCCTCTTTTCTTCTCGTCCCTTTTCCGAAATACCCCAGTCTCGGGTTAAACAAAACTACAAAGAAAGACATATTTTAAAAACAAGTTTCAATTAAAAATTAAGTGGCATGACTCAGAGAAATCAATGCCACATGTGCCACATCATACTTCATAGCATGTACATTGTAACGGTACGATGGTTAGGATGAATGGATGAATGAACACATACGACTGACCCAAAAATCAAGTGGTAGCTTGCACCACCTGGCAATGGAATAGCCAAGGTTGCCAACTGAACTTTCTCGTCCACTAAATCTAGCGTCACCATGATCTTTGGCACAGCGTGGCGCGATTTCGATCAGTTTCACGCTTTTGGTGCCACTAGGCACCGGAAAGTGTGAATATATCAAAATAGCGCAATTGGCACAGCTGTCCCGCCCCTGGAATTACTTACGTAAGAGATATTGAAATTCTAATTACTGATTTCTTAAATAGTGTTTTTTGCTTATGTCACAGTGCCCACTCCTCCCTGTAATGCCTTTGGGCACCGAGGGAAAATAAATGAAATAAAATTAAACTGCTTTTTTTGCTTGCGTTGAAATAGCCCGCTAACATTTGCGGTCTTAGACTAGGTTGCCAGTCTGCCGTTTGTGCGAGATCAAATGTATGGGCTACCTTGGAGACATACTCCTTTATAACAATGCTACAACCATTTCATGCCCATAATGTAAGAATGATGCATGAAAAATTTATGAACCGTGTAGACCGGAAGTGGGCCCAGGCAGCCTGACAGATGGCACCATTAAATTTACACGTTATCCAGAAAAGCCACAGCACTTACTACTCATCTTGTAGTCAAAGGTGAGCTCCTCCTGAGAGCAGATATCCTTGCTGGCGAAGAAGGCCAGCCGTGGCATCTGGCGGTTCAGGTTGTTGATCCACACCGAGTAAACATTCATGTTGGGGTCGCACTGCAAGAAACAGTGCACACCTTTAATCATCATCATCATCATTTATTATTCCTTGAAGGCCCAGGGGGCATTATACAAGGGAGTGAACACTCCAAGAAACAAACAAATAACCCAACTATTTATCAACAAAAACACGCTGCAATCTAGTTATAGGTTAGAAAAATAAGCTAATGGCTGCAGAAAATTTCTTAGTGGCAGATAAGGAAACAATTATGTCAGGCAGTGAGTTCCAGTCGTCAATGGCCAATAGTAAAGTAGACATTTGGTGAATGACGGTTGACAATGAAATTGGATAGAGTTTACAAGAATGGTTGAGACGAGGGAAAATGCGGTAAGGAGGTGATAACAAACTTTGAGATGACTGTTGTATTAAAAGATCCGATAAAGAAGAGAAAGACGAGACACCCTTCGGCAGTGAGAAAGTGTGTCAAGGTTAGCTGATTGGCGAAATCCTGATATGCTAGCATAAGGGGAATAGTTGGATTAAATAAAACGAAGGGCTCTGCTTTGAACGGATTCCAGGTTGTTAGCTAGTTATGCCTGACGCGGTGACCATATGGAAGCGAATTCTAGTTTAGTTACGACCAAGGTAGTATAAGCTGGCTGTTTCACTGGAGATGTAGCTTGTCTGAGGTTACGGCGAAGACAGCGTGGTTAACATCGGCGATGACAGATGTTATGTGAGTGGTCCATGACAGGTCAGATATCAGATGAATTCCTAGATATTTATACCATGAATAAGCAGTTACTGGGATGCTAGAAAGGTGGTAAGAGGATAGAACACGTGAACTGCAGGAAAAAGATAGCGATTTACATTTGTTATAGTTTAAAGCCATTTGCCATTTATGACACCACTGAATTATAAGTTGGAGATCGTTCTGCAAGATTAGTTGATCGTGGCGTGAATGAATTGGTCTATAGATGACACAGTCATCAGCGAACAAACATACTTCAGAAGTGATGCCATCATGGAGATCCTAAAAAAAGAAAGGGGCCAAGAACGCTTCCCTGAGGGACGCCAGACGTTACTCTGTTTATGGTAGATTTTACATTGTTAATAGAAGTGTACTGAGTGCGATTAGTGAGGAATTCAGAAATCCAGTTGACTACAGAGGGGTGAAGATTAATATCTCTTAGTTTCATTAAAAGACGTTGATGAGGGACCTTGTCGAATGCTTTGGAGAAGTCAATGAACATGGCGTCAGCTTGAACATTGGAATTTAAATTCGAGTAAACGTCAGAAATGCTGTTAGCTGAGTTTCACATGAGTACGACTTGTGAAATCTGTGCTGGTGCTTGAAAAGGAGGTTATGGAAGTCTAGAAAGCTCATTATGTTAGAATACACAGTATGCTCCAAGAGTTTGCATGAAACACGGGTGAGCGAGATGTGACGATAGTTGCTGATTAGTTGGTGATCGCCTGTTTCATGAACGGGTATGACGTTAGCAATTTTCCAATTGGATGGAACTTCAGAGAGTTTAAAAGATTGCGAGAATATGTCGCACAGGAAAGTGGATGAGATGTGTTTAGTGTTTATTAATACCTTAGAGTTAATTTGGTCATCTCCGGAGCTGGAGGACAACTTTAGTTGATCTATAGCCTTAAGTACTCCAGTGCAATCAATTAAGATAGGATTCATAAAAGGATTCATAATGCAACAGTTCTCAAATTGCAGTCAGCAAATCCCCAGAAACCCACACCAACACTACTGAGGGTCAGCACTGATTCAATTTTTCTGCTGGGGAAACGTAAGGTATTGAAGTGGGTAGAAATCCTCAGAGGGGACATCCTTGCAGTTATAGTAGTCTTCACGAGTCCCAGTGTGCTCTCGCTGCTTAAAGGTTGTGGTTGCATTTTTAATGTAACCTTTCTTGAGGAAAGCGTTTAGATATGTGGTAAAAGTAAATACTTGACAGAGATGTCTGGTTGGGAGTCATTTATTAAAAAAACTTTACGCCTTTTCACTCTGGTGAAGGAAGACAGCGAAGCTGTACTATGGTCAGACGACCTCAAGGACGACTTCTTGGACGACCTTAAAGGGTAACTGCAAAGAAAAAAAAGCTTTTTTTTTAAACAGCCTAATTGGGACAAGCATGTCACAAAACAAATGTTCCGCGAAAAAAATGATTTTTTTTTTATCAATATTTACGCCACAGGACGTAATTTAGTAGAGTCAGAACCTCTCCACATTTGAAACTCCCGCTCTTTCGACCCCCGCGGAAGAGGAGTACGCCCCGCCCCTCACCCTCCTTGCGTTGCGGAGTTGAACGACGCAGCCTCTCGACTTCCGGCAAGATCTGGCAACTACGCCAAGCCGCGGTATTATTGGTATTATTTTGGTTTGACGCGGTTTGCGAGCACATGTAGCGAAGACGTGACCGGAGAAGTGCCCCTGTGATGTTCCCGGAAGACGGAAAGTATCGTTCGTAATCGTCGTGCGCGCTTTGAAAGCGAAGGGAGTCACAGAATCCACGAGTGCGCAGCCACAAGCCAAGGTTCACGACAGCGCTGCGTTGGTTTCGGCGATCTCGTTGTTTGGTGCAACACGGCGATGCGACAGAGCTGAAACGTTCGTGGTGTGTGTAATGCGGTGCTAACACGGAGCGCAAATTGGTTGTTGTGGGGTTGACGTTCAACCACTTAAGTCCCGTCGTCGTCAGCTGATCCAGTCGAACTGGTCCGGGAGGACGCAGCGAGCGTTTTTAAAAGTAAATCTGCCTAGTTCTGTTTCAAAATGTGGAAGTTTCCCCGACGCATACCGTGAGTAAAAAGCTGCGGGCGTTTTCAACAAAATTACGTTGTTTTAATTGAACAATGGACTCCGAATTGTTGTCCTAAATCTGCCGTTTAAATGCTTCGTGTTGGACTGCGTTTGCACGGCGACGTGTTGCATCGTGCGGTGTGAATAAATTTGGGCACGATTTCGTACCTGCCTACAGATGCATGAACTGAGACCATTTTTACTTAGTGGACATAGTGCTTTTTTATTTTCTGTCTAGTCGCGGACGTTAGGTGCACACGGGGCGAATCTCGACGGCCTCTAGAGCGATATGACGAGAACCTAGCTAGACACGTTGGTCGCTACGCGAACGCCCGATTGCCTCCAGCCAAATAGCATTCCTTTCGGGGCGACATGGCTGCTGGAAGGCTCACTGTCGGGATCACGCATCTGACATCTCCAAAAAGTCAGCATTCGCACGCGCAAACAAGAACAACAAAAAAAGCACGCTAAGCATGCAAAGAGCAAAACGAAAAAAGAACCGCGCTATGAAAGCCAAAACCCCGCGTCGCATCCTATCACTTACACCTGCGACAGCTGCTAAACACACACTACTTCACATCAAGAAGTCTCACTCAAGCACCTGGGTCAGCACGAAACGACGAAACACTGATCACTTCGGCGAAACGATTAGTCGAGGTAGGCGAGACAGGCGGGAGCGGAGACTTCGGCGGCCATGAAAAAATGGCGAAGCTTTTGTTTGTATGAATCCAAACGGAAGTGCCCGTCTTGTAAACCTTTTGTAAAGAATAATAACTCTCATCACATGGGTTATTCTTTAAACGTAAAAATATGCCGCTCAAAAGGAAATTGTAACATATGACAAAGGTTTAACAACCAAGATCTAAGCTGTCAATCAAACTCTTAGCCAATGAGAACCTTTTGGGATTGACGTCACATAATCACAACTTCTTGGCGCGCGATTTAAAACGGACGAAATAGCCGCAAACTAAAATGAGTCTCACGCAATAAATATTGCTGTAAAAATTTTTTTTTCTAACGGAAAAATTGTTTTTTGACATGCTTGTCCCAATTAGGCTATTTAAAAAAAAACTTTATTTTCTTTGCAGTTACCCTTTAAGGATGCAACCCTAAGGACGATGTCCAGGACGACCTCAAGGACAATGTCTTGAAAAAAGTCAAATTTGGGAGTTTTACGTGCCAAACCAACGACGGGCATCTGGCATGCCCCAGCAGAGGACTGAGGATTAATTTGGACCACCTGGGGATCTTCTGACGTGCAACCGAAAGCTCGGTTACACGGCGCCTCCACCGCAATAAGCCTCCGTCAGATTGCGGGCACCTCGGCCAGGACAATGTCTTGGATGACCTCTAAGACTGCCTCAAGGATGACGCCTAGAGGATGACCTCAGGGACGACATCTAGAAAACCTCAGGGACGACATCTAGACAACCTCAGGGACGACCTCAAGAATGACTTCTAGGACAACCTCGAGGACTACCTCTCGGATGACCTCAAGGACACCTAGGACGACCTCTCGGACAACCTCAAGGATGACATTTAGGACGACCTCAAGGACGACTTCTAGGGTGACCTCAAAGACGACACCTAGAGAAATTCAGCCTTTCCACTCTGGTGAAAACGAGAGTGGAAAGGCTGGAAAGGTTGTCGCCATCTATGAGCAAGGCCGGCAAGCCGATTGTCTGGTTGCCGCCGTCGCTCATAGATGGCAGTAGCTGTTCAGAGTTTTGTGTCGACATTTCTTTGCGGGGGACACGACCTTGGGGAAACTAGCTCTTAACAGCTCCGCTCTAAAAGTTCAACACCAACCAAGCCCCTCTATAGGGACGCTACGTTTCGAGGCCAATTCGGCCTCTTCAGAGGCGACTAGAGCTATGGCCATTGAAGAGCAGTGTCTTTTTCTTTTTCTTCTACGGTGGATATCTGGTCTTCTTCTACGGCTGTACCTTTTCAATAAAGGGACAAAGCCCGTTCACATATGCGGATGGCAAAGCTCTGAGAGACCGATCGATGTTCTGTGGCATTGTTTGAATATGCCAGGATTCGAGAAACAGTTTCTTTCGGGGATTTGTCTCAATGTTAAAGATGCATGTGCTGTCAAAGTCAATACGATGGTTCTTGATGTCGCAGTGCTCAGCGACCACGCTGCGCTCATGATCCAACATGCATACTTTGTTTTTATGTTGACGGATCCTCCTGTAAAGCTCTGTTTCGCCGATGTATGTGGCAGCACAAACC